TGAACTGGTACATAAAAAAATAAAACTTCTATAGTGATAAGCCGCTAAAAATTAGAGGTTACTTTGTCTACCAGCTAACATTACCGTAACCTGTATAATTTGTCACTGTTATGTTTTTTAAAAAAAAAAAAAAAGGCAAATAGGAAATGTTTGTGGTATCTCCTATAGCAATTAACTATCAATTTTGACTCAGGTTCTTGAACAGTTGGAATATTCTTAAATTATTTAACATATCTTCCAACTATTACTAAACTCTCTTCAACAGTATTTTCAGAAACCAAGCCCTAAAGGCCAAGATGGCAAGCATTTAAGCACATACACACAAACACAAACTATGTTCTCTATTTCATATTCAATATTTTCTACTGGAAATAGAAAAATCTAAGTAAATGACTATTAATTTAGTAATGTCTCTCCATGTACACCAAAATATCTGAATTTTCATTTTCTTATTCACAAAGTAGGCTAGATCAAAGGCTTAAGTGGGCCTATGGATAGACTTCAGCAAGTATGTGAAGTTATAAGCAAATTTTGAATATGCATATGTAGCACTTTTTTTTTAACACATTTCCAATGATCTATGACCTAGAAATGACTGACCACTATACCAGATAACTTGAGATAACTTCTTATTCCAAATTTCAGGGACCATAAATCTAATTATGCAAGCCTGAGGAAAATTCTGCATGACTTTGTATGGTTCAGACATGTAAATGTCTGACATGTACATGTCAGACATGTAAATGTACGAACCAGATGTCGCTGTAGATTAGGGGCCAGCAAAAGAAGGCCTGTGCCATCTGGTTTTATAAATAAAGTTTTATTGGAGCACAGCCACATTCATAATTTTATTAATCATCTATAGCTAGTTTCATGCTACATGAGAAGAGACAGCTGTGACAGAACATATCACTTGCAAAGCCTAAAATATTTACTGACTGACCCTTTATAGAAAATGTTTGCTAACCCCTGTGCTAGATGATGACAATCAAAGATGACTAAGTCACAGCCAGGAACAGTGGCTCACACTTGTAATCCCAGCACTTTGGGAGGTCGACGTGGGCAGATCACCTGAGGTCAGGAGTTTGAGACCAGTCTGGCCAACATGGTGAAACCCCGTCTCTAATAACAATACAAAATTTAGCTGGGAATGGTGACAGATGCTTGGAATCCCAGCTACTCGGGAGGCTGAGGCAGGAGAATCTCATGAACCTGGTGGAGGGAGGTTCCAGTGAGCCAAGATCATGCCACTGCACTCTAGCCTGTGCGACAGAGTGAGACTTCATCTCGGAAAAAAAAAAAAAAAAAAAAAGCCCAAGTCATATCTTCTCACCCAGTGGGCAACACGGATTTTAGTTTAACTGTACCCTAAATATTTCTATTAAAGTATGTGGTAGAGAAATTATCTCTACCATGAAAGAACTGTAATATGATTCCGAAGCAGGATATGGCTGCCAAAAATTAGTCCTCAAATAACCGTATGACTTAACTGTTAAATAACAAAATGATTTACCATTGTATACACACACACACACACACACACACACAGAGACACACACACACACTGAGAAAAAGAGAAAGGAAAAGGAAAGAGATAATTATATGACAATACCAAGACAGCTGAAGCTATACAATGGAACATAAAATTTGTCTCTGAGCTTCCTCTAGCAGGCAAAAAAAGTAGGGATTTTTTTTTTAAATGAGTAACTACTTGGAAAAAAATAACAGTTAATTAAGAGATGATGAAAAAAACTAAATGACTTTAAACTTTTTAAAAAATAAAAATAACTTAAATTTTTCAAAAATTAAAATGTCCTTTAAAGCCATTTTAGAGACATGCAGAAACAGCCCACCAACTGCAGCTTTTTATAAGGTACTTCAATAAAAGTGAAGGGTATATAATTCAGAGAGTACAGAACTGAGTAACCCAGGTATCCAGTTTAGAAGTGGTTTCACTTTACACCGAAATAAAATGCAGAAGGCACTGAAGAAGCATGCATGCATGAATGAATGAATGAATGCAATACACTTAAACTCTCTGTAAGTAGAAACTGTCAGCATGTCTTACAGGAGGTACTAAGCCCACAATTTAAAACTTTACTGTTATTAATAAAGTTATTAATGACAATATTAATAAACTGTTATTAACAGTAAAGTTCTTGGCCTATATAACATTAACTGAAAGAAAATGTTTGCTTCAAATCAGTCAGATCCAAACTCTTTTAACCTTCGCCCAGTAAGAAATATTACATTGTAATGCAGCACAAGCATATACATTCATATACTTTCTTGAAATATTACTAAGTTTTAATATAAGCAAACATGCTATGTGGCTTTCTATTCAATGCCATATAGTTTTAAATGCTTGCCATGACCCACTAAAGTGTTTTAACAATAAACTAACTGGTCAGGATCCTTGGTTTGAAAAAGACTATTCTAGATGCCAAGAATAGAGATTGCCAAGCGGATGCTGGATGTTACATTCTTTTCCTAATAGAGAACTACCTATTCTTCAAAAGATTAAAACAATTGTCTATTGCCAACACAAAAACTTCTCAAAAATCATCTCTGGATTTATACAAATGCCCAAACTGCAAAACTGTAAACACAGATGCTGGGAGAAATAACCTCCCCAGAAAATTTCAAAAGCAGGAATTTATCTCTACCATGAAAGAACTGTAATTAATATAATTCCCAAGAAGGATAAGGTTGCCTGAAAAGACTCCTCAAATAACCATACGAGTTAACCTTTAAATAATGACATGATTTACTATTATCCAACTGGATTCTCAAATTATCCCTTTTTTTTACTTTTGGCAAAATTAAGTTTAGCTGCTCTGCCACCCAGTAACTGGCCAACAGCTTCAGTTACTTCTTAACTGTGATTTATGTCAGCATAAAAGAGACTATGAGTCCTCCTGTTAGGTAAAAGGTAGAAAAGCACATGCTAATCTAAAAACTACCTCAAGTAGTTCAGGTAGAACACAATTCTGTTAAATGCTACTAAAAACAGGATGTTTTAGAACGGGCGTGGTGGGTCACATCTGTAATCCCAGCACTTTGGGAGGCCTAGGTGGGTGGATCACGTGAGGCCAGGAGTTCAAGACCAGCCTGGCCAACATGGTGAAACGCCATCTCTACAAAAATTAGCCGGGCATGGTGGTGCAGCTACTTGGGAGGCTGATGCAGAAGAATCGCTTGAACCCGGGAGGCAGAGGTTGCAGAAAGCTGAGATCACACCACTGTACTCCAGCTTGGGCCACAGAGTGAGAATGGGTCTCAAAAAAAAAAAAAAAAAAAAAAAGAATGTTTTATGTTATATTGATGATTTCATGTTTTGTGCCACAAAAATAGGCCAATTCTCCCAATTCTGAATAACAGTCTAAATTCTAATACAGACAATAAAGTATCATTAAAAGTCTGGGACCTATTTTGAGTACATGCAGGTTACCCCATAGAAGGTTACTATGAAATCAACAATTGACAATAGCTTTAATTTTTTTGTTTTTTCTTAGGAAAAACAAAATATAGAACAAGCCAACAATTAAACCTACAATTGATTATTCTTTGCCAGGACATTGAGAGAGACTCCAATGCTTCTATACACGAGCTGCTATAGCAACTCTTCAGAAAATATGTAATCATAAATTTGCAGGGACAAAAGGATTGCCTGTTTAAAAAGAACATTTACAGTTTAATTCATAATTTAATTTAATTTCTCAGGATTTTTCGCAAGGAGTTATTAAGAAAAAGTTTTTAAAATTCTGGAACCATCACACAACTCTAAGCACAAATAGAAACATTTAGAAGTAAAACATCTTCTTCTGACACCTTTCCCAGCTTATAACAATTCATCCATCCAGAAGCCAGATGGGTAACAAAGACCTGTTAAATAGAGTTCTGAAGAACACAAAGCATCAGTACTCATGTCACTATAGACTAGTTAACAGTGTTCAATTCAAATGTAACTTAGGACATGTATTTGAGGGAAGGGGTCTATAAAATGATATACCTAATTCTAGTCTTTTACAAGTAAATGGTGCCAAAAGACTGCCAAAAAGTAATGAGAGTAGCAGAAAGCTTATAAAACTTCAGCACAGAAAACAACTATATATTAATGTCTAATACATCTCACAAAAATAGGAGTCGCTAATAAATAAAATCAAAACAAAAGTGACTGATAAACAACTCCTAACTGTAAAAAGGCAGCAATGCATCTTGGCCACAGAGCTGACATGTGATGATCAGTTTTTTTCTTTAAATGTTTATGAAGAAACTGTTTCATGCAACCCACTACTGTCCCACCTAAATAAAAACTTCAGGAAATAAAAGAGATGATATATAAGGTCTGTTTCAGTTACAAAACTCTGTGATTCCATTAGTGAATTTTAGCGCTTCCAGAAACTCAGAATAATCTAGTGTCTCTTCTCTGTTATCAAGACACAAGGGGAACAAAGAGACTGTTCGTCTTTTGCTTAAACTGTAAGAAAGAAACTCAAAGAACAACTTACTGCAAAAGAGGATCAAAATTTGAATGAAAGCCATTTGTGAAGGCTCTGGACCCAATTTGTTCAGAAGTCACGCACAAGTACACATGCACATACAGCTTAAAAGTTTTATGATACTAAAAATATATATTCTACAAAGGACTAAAACAATGATCAATTTTTTTTTTTTGAGACAGAGTCTCACTCTGTCACCCAGGCTGGAATGCAGTGGCACGATCTCGGCTCACTACAACCCCTGCCTCCCGGGTTCAAGTGATTCTCCCGTCTCAGCCTCCGGAGTAGCTGAGATTACAGGTGCATGCCACCACGCCCGGCTAATTTTTGTATTTTTAGTAGAGACATGGTTTCACCATGTTGGCCAGGCTGGTCTTGAACTCCTGACCTCAAGTGATCCACCCACCTTGGCCTCCCAAAGCACTGGGATTACAGGCATGAGCCACCATGCCCGGCCAAAAATTGAAGTTTGATTTTATCGATCCCATTAGAAGTTACCTGGTGGTAAGTCAGGATCTGTAGGAGCAGCCTGCTGAATTCTCCGTAGTTTGATTGATGATTTTGTGTTCTCAGTAGTACTACGGTTGGTGGAATTAGAACCACAGCTTTCATGGTCATCCTGTTTTTATTTTAAAGAAAGAAAAAGAAAACCATCAATCATATTCAACAATTAAGAAAAAAATTTTATATATGCAGTTTGTGGTAGCTACAGGAGAAAGATCAACATAATTTTATTTTTAGCTCTAAAAACTACATAACCAATTTTCATAATTTGCATTCTCAAACAGCATTTAAAAATATTAATAACTAGCAGTTTAAAACTATAAATTCTTCTTTCTTTAGCTGATGTCAAAAAAACTACTTGACAGTCTCCAAAGAATTCTTATTTATGGCTCTAGCAAAAGAAAAAATTACTTAATGAAAGCTTTTAAACAACATCCATCTCTATGTAAGTGCAAAATAAATAAAAAGGTTCTTAATTTTTCCCCTATTTGTTGTTTATATGTTAAAACACTATTTTCAATCCAAGCTATCTTGGTCATCTTTAATGATTAATCTTAATCACCCTTATAATCCTCTCCATCCTACTAAACAATGTATACTAAATTATCATTCATGTTAGGTATAAGTTTTAACTGGTTTCAATATGAGTAACAGAAACAAATAAATTATACATATTTTTGAAATTTATCCCTTTATTTATAATTGCAAATGAGTACTTTTTTCCTGTCCTGATTCAACATTTATGTAATGCTCTTACATGCCAATTGCTGGATTTACAAGGATAAATTAGATATATTTATCTTTGTATCCTGTCCTTAGGGACTTCAGAATCTATCAAACACATATATAACTAATTCTACAACAGCAATACTTTTGTTTGTTTTTAAGTAATAAGGAGCATAAAAAGAGTCATTATGTTTGGGAGAACTAGAAAGATCAGGCCATTCAAAATCAAATGTAGAAATGTTTTAGGTTTAGACTGGGGCTAATTGAGGTGTGGAGGGAGGGACCATAAGCAAAAGCAAAACAGTATCAACATATGTAGCACATATAAAGAATGATGATTAGTCAAATAAGGCCAGAGTGTACAGTATCTAAGATGGATGAAGTTAAAGGCACAGATCTTTCAATAGAAATGGGGTAATGTTAACAATTATAGAGATATTCTCAGTCCTCATTCTAGTTGGCCTGTTTCAGGATTTGGTAATTAGGAGGAGGCTGCCACTAACCTATTAGAAAGGAGATTTAGCAGTTCCCACAGAAAGAGAGAATTGGGAGCAGTAAATGAGTAGCTCAGAGTGAATGAGAAATTACAGTGGAGTCAATAAAAATAAACTGCACTTTCACGAAGATAGGCATTACAAAGAGAAAATAGGTGGAGTAGTAACATGAGGGAAAATCATCTGGCAACTAAAACTTCTTATTCCTTTTTTGAGGATAAAAGAATACATTTTTTCTTGAAGTAAAAATGCATATGTGGAGTGAGAGATCAAAGATACCAATTTTACAAAGGGTAGTTGAGAGTGCACTGCGCACCATGAATTCATTAATCAATAATAACACTATTTTATAGTGATGAATAATCATCACTAGTTTACCAAACTCACAGGGTATTAGAGGCAAATAAGAACGATAATAAGACCTCTTTAAGAAAATTTTTATTCACTATCGCACTAAGAGAAATATACAATAAACGGTGTTTTACAAAATTGCATGGCTTCAGATGGTAGTGATACATTAGAAAAAAATTTGTTTGAAACTTCATATAAACAAAATGACTTGCAACCATAAACAAGAGTGAAAATTTTCTCACAACCTTATGTTCATTTTAAGTTAATGAAAAACAAACACCACAGGTTTCATTCCACAAAATAACTTCACTATTCAATCTTCATAAAGATATCTTCTGTTATTTGGGGGATGTTACGGTCTTAAATACTAAAAGACTACTACCGTGAATAAAGCCTTACTGTAATTACTTTTAGTTCAACTTAAATCCTTAAAAACGTCCACAGTCATACACTTCTGCACAACATTAACATTGAAAGCACATTATTAATTTTTGAAACATATGGTTGTCTCAAAAGCCCAGAAGTAAAACATGTTCATTAAAGAGATGTGAAAAAGTTCCAAGTGAACTGCCAAAACTAGCATAATTATGAAAATATTTAACACTGAAACCATCTGAAATCACATACTGTATATAGATTATGGTGATGTCATAATAAACATTCCAGCCAAAATGCACTAAAACTACTGCAGTCCAATAAATCTGGCATATGTGAGATGACAAACATTTTAAAGCAAAAGAAAGAACAAGTTATTTTTACTCTATTTTTTAAAAATTATTAGCAGCAAAATGGGATTAAATGAAAAGGATGAGTTTTCAAATTTTTGTTAAAAAAAAAAAGTGAATAAAGCTTCCCTGCAAACTACATGTATTTATTATTCAAAAGAGAAACAAACTAAATAACTTTATTTGCCTAAACAAAATTTATTTTAAAAACCTGAAATTTTTGTGTGCTCAAAAAATGAGCATTAATCATGGTACTCACAGGAATATATACTATAAACCAAACATTACCAAACACATAAACACTTCTTTCTTAATTATGGTTAGGAAACTTTGACAATGTATACACTATAATTAGAAATTAATCCTTTCAATGATTTGAACTTGTTTTCATTTCAATTACATTTTAGTTGTATCCAATAAAAGTGAGTTTCCATTCAAATCATGCCCCAATCAAATTAAATAAAAATAAAGCCAAATAAGAATAATTATAATATTTACTATTAAGACTGAAATTATTTCCATTAGTTTTGAATTCATCATCTGCTTTTAACCAGTAGGCATCACTGTGGACTATTACACAGTTTTCATTCACTGAAAGCCTTTAATTACTAATAAAAGAAACTCTGTTCTCAAAAATACTAGCTAAAATATTTTCAGATAATTTTTAACACCAAACACATTACAGTTATATCTTATTTAGGTTGCAACTTTTTCCAAAATGTCTGGTAAGTATATTTCATGGCCAAAGAATGTTTTCTCTTGGGGACCACATAGCTATTTCTGAAAATACTGCCATTTACTCCTCATGAAACAAGCAAGAATGTCATTTCCTTACAAAAGTTCCTAACAGAGGAAAAATGTGTGGCAAACACTGCATGTAAATAGACCATTACTTTCATACTGACAGATCATGAGTTCATGTTGCACACTTTTCTCCCTGTCCCCAACTAAAACTAGAAAACCATCAACTCCTAGATTCACAATAGTGTGAATAAAATTGAGAATAAAACTGAAAACAAGTAACTAAATCATTCAAGTCCTCGTCTAAAATTACAAGAGCAAGAAGTTAAGATGCAGGAAAGAGCTGAAGAAGGAGAAAATGAACAGTGAAACTAAGAGGTGATGTACTTTATGCTCAACCCTGTGGCACCAAACCTCACAAGCAGAAAAGAACTAAGACTCACCTGTCAACTCTGATCACCAAAGGGGCTTAGAAATGAACTGCTACAAGGCTCTTAGGAACATTCACCTCTATCCTCTCCAGTAGCAAGTACAATGATAACTGCCAGATGCAATAAAGAATCTCTGAGAGTAACACTGCACACTTCAAAGTCAGAAAGCTAAATAAAGTCATTTACTCAGAGGTACACTTGGAGAGCACAAGAGAGAGCCAGGGAAAACACATTCACTAAGTTTCATGGTAAAAATAGAAATCTGACTCAACTCTACCTTAAGAGCAATATTTAAAACCTTAGCTTTAATCATAAAAAAATATATATATGTATATATATCAAGCATGCTTAAATAAAGAGGAATATGTAACACCAATCTCTTCACACATCAACTTTAGTCCACAAGGGAGGCTGCTTCCATCTTCTCTCCTATCAAGAGTAGAAATAAGGGGTTATGATAGGCTGGAAAAAGGAAAAAGAAATGACCCTCCCTCGTATTATTTTCACTTGATCATCTCAAAGGAAGATATAACTAACCTGAATGACCAAAAGCTGAACATTCATTGGGTCCATTTTAATAATAAAGGAGATGACTGTACTCACTGTGAACACTTCTATGTGCTTTTCTAATCGCTTCTCTTCTAATGTCTGAGACCCATGCTACTCAGTAAAAGGACCAGAGCCATTTTCCCAGATGACTCAACCATTAGCCATCTCTCCTCTGCCTTCTTTTCACCCACATAGCCCCCGACCCATGATATTGCCCCAGCCACAGAATGATCAAACTATTGAACTATGCCACAACATCTATCAGAGAAATAGCAAAACATGTTAGGAAAAATTTGTTCTTTATAGCTACCTATGACATTCCTTTCCTTCATATTGGTGGGTGTGTATCAGATTGCCACCTCCCTCTCCCACTTTTTTTAAACAACAGAATTGAAACTGTGAGATCCACTCGAAGATTTAGAAGGTGAAATAGGCAGAAATTCAGGGAGGAAAAAAAAAAAGTAAATACAGAACTACCCTGGTCTAAACCACATTCTACCATCTAATTTTTACCAGAATTCGCTGGGGGGAATTGGGTTATTGAACAGATCAATTTAACTGCACTTTGTTTTCTTGTATACAACTTCCCTCAGCAACAGATGTCCGAGCAAAGTAAAGTATGTGTTAGGCACCTCAGGGAAAAAAAAAAAAAAGTAGTAAAATAGAAGATATCTTTATCTAAGTATTTTACCTATTTACTCAAATAACAAAACCTACGTATACATTAAAAAGTTAGTAATTTAAGAGTTAATCAGGTCAGGCATGGTGGCTCACGCCTATAATCCCAGCACTTTGGGAGGCAGGTGGATTGCCTGAGGTCAGGAGTTCGAGACCAGTGTGGCCAACATGGTGTAACCCTGTCTCTACTAAAACTTCAAAAAAAATTAGCCGGGCGTGGTACTGTGCACCTGTAATTCCAGCTACTCAGGAGGCTGAGGCAGGGGAATCGCTTGAACCAGGGAGGTGGAGGTTACAGTGAGCCAAGATCGTGCCACTGCACTCCTGCCTGGGTGACAAAGACAGACTCCATCTCAAAAAAAAAAAAAAAAAGTTTATCAGTGATTATATACATCACAAAGAAAAAAGAAATAGCAGTTC